GCTTCCATCTGATAATGATGGATCTAGCTTCTGAAGCCCCAGACAGTTTGCTTACTTTGTCCTCCCACCATTTTCAATGTAAAGGATGGAAGACCTCGTGGAAGACACTTTGAGGCACAGTTAATGAATAGAAAGAAGGCACTTGGAGGGTTGCTCACTGAACACAGTGCTCATTCTTCGGTGGGGTTTATTGCGATTTGGCCTAGTTAAGCTGTCATTGTGCAGTTTTTCCAACTGCTGTCTGGCTTTAAGCTCCAGCCTGGGATCTAGGAACTTGAATTCTCATGTAATTTCATCAGTTAAAGTGAATTCAGAGTCCTTTAACTTCGGTGCTTTTTCCATAAGGAACTCCTGCCTCTTGGGTGCAGTGTAAGCACTAACTTGTAAAACACAGCAAAGGTGGAAATACTTGCTTTGTAAGGCTGTGGGGAAGAAGACTTGTATTTGGCCTGTCTGTATTACTGTCCTAATCATTAGTATAGTATCATGATGCTTTTGTATTAACTGGTTTATTTTTAAATTTGTTAAAGTCTTCTAATATCATTAAAACCTTTTTACCTACTGTTGGACTGGTTTTGATATTCCCACCAGCTGCTATGATTAAGGAATGTGCTGATAAGTACAGCATTACCTTAAGGATAGAGGAAGAATTAAATAGAGAAGTACTCCGAATTTAATCTGTCCAAAGTATTTAGGTAGAATGCATGTTCATACTGGTGACACTGCACTAGAACTCTCACCTGGCACAATCTGTTCTTCTCTTGTGAGAACAGAAGATGTACTTGAAAAAATCTGAAGTGAGCTGAAACTTCAGAGAAAGTTTTAGTAGGTACAAATGTTTTCTAGTATCATGCAAAACCTTCTGATTTAACATAACCTTAAATGGTACAGGATGCCAACTGATGAGTATTCCTACAGCCCACATTCAGATGAACCCATTGCATGTAGACATTCCAGTCAAATTACGGCACATTCAAAGTTAGACTGCCAGTGTAACTAATAAATATTCTAAACAGTTTAGTGGCTTTGAGCAGGTAAGCGAAAATACTTAGGGTTACTTCAGGTGAAGCTACCCATATGGGAATTGACTGGACTTGGGAGGGAAGCTTGCAGTCAACTTTTTGGTCAATCTGTTTTGCTAGGGCAAGTAATTGCTTCTTACAATATACATTTTTGGCTTGTAACATTATAGGCCATGGCAGGTAAAAAGGTTTCCTGCTGCTTTAAATAGCTACAAGCTTTTTATGTTCAAGTCTTTCTGAAACAGCATCTATGGCTGTGCATTAACAGAATTCTTGAAGCATGCTCTATTGCACTCAAAGCTATCTACACTGGCTACCAAGTGAAACAGCATGCATTGAGTAGACAGCAAGCTTTTTCTGAGCTTACGTCTCAGCTTGTGATTACCACTCTCTCCATTATAAACCTGTTTTTCAGTCTTGCTCAAAGCTGCAATGCTTTTGCTTTTTTGAAGCTCAACTTGGTAATGGAAATTCTACTCCTCAAGCTGTGCAAGAGGAAAGAAGGGGTTTACCTGTGGCTTTTTCACATCTACTTACAATAGCAGATAGCATCATTACGTCAATCCTGTGTGTATTAGGAATATTTAACTCACCTACTTCCAGGCAAACACTGAGATGGAGTCACAGCAACCATGCTGATCATTCTTGTAGGAAGGCAGTGATGGTCCTTCCAATCTAGCCTTAAGGAAAAAAACAAACGGAGGGTTTTCATTGCTGCTTTTTCCTCTTTTCTGTTATCAAGGATAGAGCTCTTTAGTTGCCTGTAAATTATTAAATGCTGTAGTTCTTATGTCACAGAATTAAAATTATCAACTAGACCTAGCATAGTACGATTTAAACTGTTACTTTTGTCTTAATTGTTCAGTTCTCGTAGAACGAAAAAAAACCCTAAATTTTCATAATCTGATGGGAATTGCAGTTAATACTCTATCCTAAAGCTGAGCTGGCAGTTTAATAGTAATACTGACTATTACTTGCAAAAAGAGCAGGTGTATAATACTTAACTGTCTTTAAAGCTCTATTATAGTCAACATCCTTCAAAAGTCTCCGTGAAAAATGAAAAGCAATTAACTACTGACTAAAAGACTTCAATGCTGCATATCATCCTGTAATTTCTATAAAAAATCCTTTTTTAGTGGTCAAGTTTATGTATTGCTTCTTGGAGCTCTTTCAGTTGTGCAATCAAAGAAAGATGAAAACTGCTAAAACATCTCCATTTAATGAGATTTTTAAACCTAACAGTACAGTTATCTGTATAAATTGATTTTTAGTGTAGACTTCACTATAGATCTTTAGATCATTATATTCTGAAAGTCGGTTCATAGCTAGAATTTCCTGTTGGTGATAACAAAGAGCTGCTGCCAGGTCTGATATTTCCGCAGCAAATAATCACAAAGCTTTTCAGTAAACAATCTTTAGCCATTGGCCAGCACCTTCTGTATACCAGTAGTGTATATGCATGTGTGTTTGGAGAGGAAGTAACAGGAGATTTTAGCTGAGGACAACAGACATCATCAGAGCTAACAAACTTTGAGACATATTATTTCTCTTCTTGACATGTTGGGCATGTCATAATGACATAATGACATAATAAAAAAAAAAATCGGATAAGCTGTGCAATAAACATCCACTAGGCCTTCTTCTTGAAAGACAGCTACTATGATATCAAAATGCTTGATGCTTCTAAAGGCCTAGGAGTCCTGTGAAATAAATACCAATTTTCTACTCAAGAAAGGAATAGGATAAACAACAGAAGCAATTCAAATAGAACTGCACGTCACGATAACCAGATGCCTACAGAGGTTGCTCCTTTGGAAACAGAACAGTGGATAAAAGCAAAAGATACTTGATCATCTTTTGCTTATCTTACCTATGCAAGTCAGGAGAAACTGTCCACCTAAAACATGCTCTGTAATCTAATTTAACCTTAAATTAGATCTACATTTTGTAGACATGAAGTATGTTTGATTCACTTAAGCTTATTTAAGCTGCACAGATATGGTAACTATGCAAAACTTAGCATTTCCTTGATCTCATTCCTGTAATATTTAAGAAGCTTTAACTTTTGAACAGGGTGACTGACTTACCCATGATTCATGAGGATGGATTTTATATAGGTGTTCAAGAGGGAGGGATACAGTATGGAAGGTCTAAAACATAGCCAGAAGACATGTGAAAACCTAGGGTGGCTGCCATTACACTTTTTTCGGGGTAAAAATTTTAGAATGTCAAAGCCTTAAGTTAAAGCCTTTATCATTAATACACTCAAGTAGACAAACCTACCCTGTAACAGAGATTCTACCTTGTAACAGATTCCTTCTTCAGCAATACATTTGCCATGAATGAGTATCCTCAATTAATGGTCTTCAACACTCCATTAATGATTTCTCCCTTAAAGCACCAAGAAAAACCTTTTGCATCTCCTGTGGGATTGGGTTGATGACCAGGGTACATTAAGGGTCAGGGTAAATAAAGCCTCATGAACCTCAAGAAAGCAAGTAATGTATAGTGGCATTAAAAAAAAAAAAAAAAGCAATATGAAAACTCACTACCGTAAGCACTGCTATGCCAAGAAGGCAGATTTGCTGTTGATCACAGACTTGCTAGTTTATTATCTACCTAGTTAGTAGAATTCTAAAAGATATTTCATCCCTGAAAGTGGAACAGTTTGGGATAGGGGAAAGGGAGGGTAAAGTGTCATTGTGTAAAATTTCCTGTATAGAGCCAGCCATAGGGATTGATGACATTCCTGTTTTCTTCTACACTGTAGCACTTGATTTTATTTGATCAATATTGGATAGTTACAGCCTAAAAAAGGCATGGGTTTTTTTTCCCTATCTACTACTGCTTAATAGCTCAAATACAGAGCAAGAATAAAAGGGAGCACAGCATTACTCTTTTTCCATTGTGTCATGTATAGCTGAGTGACTCTAGTACAGGAAGTGCACTCTTCTTTCAGGAGAAGGGTTTTAAACAAGGAGCAAGGCTACACCTAGAAGTTCTCAAAAGTGATCAAAAATATTCTGTCATCTGTACCTTCTTCATCTTGGGGTAGTATTGAAGGTATGAGTCCTACTAAAATGAGAACCTGATGATTTTAAACTTGGTTTTGGAGAATTGCCCTAAGCTGTATCCTTTAGGAAGGAACAAGTGGCTTCAAGGAAAAGCTTGTCTCATGAATCAAGGGCTGAGCAAGAGAAACAGTGTTCAAGTCTTTCCTCTCTTGCTGCATATTTTGGACTATCTTTGGCAAGCATATTCTTGCTTGATAAAGTTTGCCCACACAGTAGCTTAAGCAGCCTTCTCATTTGACTTGGCTATATCTGTCTAATACCTTATGTCTTTAAATGTGCTTCTTTTGAATCAACAGCATTTGATTAAGTCTCTCTCAGTCCAGCAGAGGGCAATGGTGATACATTTCTGACCACCACTCCGGAGCCATGTTACTATAGTAAAATTTAGAAATATAATGCAACTTATTGAAAGTGAAGATTGTACACCAGCAGTATCACAGGTGAAAAATGACACAAAATATGTTTTAATTGTCAAGACAACAAGTGAGAGATATGGCTATTAAAAACAAAATACTCAAATTACCTAAGCAAAAGTATCAAAAATGGAAGCAAGGAGGAAGTCAAACAATTACTGGAGAAACTAAGGAGCAGTATGGAGGAAGTTACACGTGAGTATGGTCAGTGAGAATGTTCTGCTTTAAACTCTTTATTTAAAGGATTTTCTTTTTAATAACAGTAAGATACCTTTTTGTGAGCAATTAAGGCATTTTGGCTGTAAGCTTTACTGAATTCTGACAGACCTTTCATTTTTGGAACAAAAATATCCAACTAATCATGTTCACCTAAAACCCTAAAGATTCATTACTGTTGCTAACCTGCAAGAGGAATCTCTAATAGGCTAACTTGGCTTCCTCTAGGACAATAAGAGAAAATGACCAGAGACATTACTTGAAAGGTAAATCAATCATGCCATGTTGGAATCTTCACTTTCAGTCACAGCTACTTCTTGTTCCCCAGAAGTTCTCCCTCCCTTAGCTGCACTGGACTTCTTTTTCTTCTTCTCCTTTTGCTCCATGTTACTTGATGCGAGCTCTTCACTCTTCTGGGTGATATACTTTAGCTGAGAACAACAAACTGATCAGTCATCTACCAAGGAACTTCATTTATTCATGAGAAATTAGAAAGAAATGTCTGAGAGAAATTGACAGGGCAAATTCTTATTACAAAAAAGACGACAGACACTCCAAAAAGGCTGACAAACATCAACTAGTTTTAATTCTTGCACAAAGCCCTCAGTCTAAGCTGGATATCCTCAGATACTGAAATGTTCTGGCAAGACTAGAATTTATAAATGTGTGTTACATCCATCTCTAGAACCAAGACAGCAACATCAGCAGGTATGCAGAGTTGTAGTTTGCTGAGATATAATCTGAGTACAGAAACACTGCAAGATTCCTCCGCACCCACTTGACATAAACAGCACATGATAGTTAGGAACACAAAATTTAGCTCCAGCCACTTACTATGCCTTCTCAGCCAAGTTCATGTTGCATATTTCAAATCACAGATGGAAGGAGAAAATCCCCTCACACATAATTAAAACTAGTATTGGAAGTATTCTTCTTCATGGAAGCATTTACAGGTATGTCTTAACACATTAGTGAATTTAAGTCCACTGAACATCGCACAGATCAGCACATGAAAGAATACAATAATGTGAATTATCCCTGTATTGACGTTAGGAGACTTAGCACCTCAAGGTGGACTCAAGCTATTCCTGACCTTAGGCTAAAACAAAGGAACACAACATCAGGAAAAAAACCAAGTGATTTACTTCCAAGATTGACAATGCTGTCATGTGTCCGTTTATTGCACTTTCGTGCTTGGAACCTCAGCAGCCCTGTGGCAAGCAGAACATTGCTGCTTGAATTACAATCAGATCTGTGTTCCCACAGTGATGCATAGTGTCATGAAGCAAAATAAGATGAAAATTTAAAAATCACTGGATTGTGCCCACCCATCATCCATAAGCCAGTGAAATTGCTTAAGCAACAGTTGCTTCATCATCTATAGCCTTCATTCAAATGCTCTTAAGAATTAACCAATTGGTTTAAGAATGTTGTGAGACAGAAAATACAGTGAATCTCACCAAAGAATTGCTCCTTCTAGCCAAAAGCTTCACATCTTCTGTAGTAACTGTGCTTCGTTTTGCATGCCTGCATAAAATTTAAAAATACCCCTTAATATGTTTGCCAACATCGGTTGTAAGAGACCATACAGTATCTAATTCAGAACACTAACTAAAAGGGCTTAATAGGGACCCAATAAACTAAACATCCCTATCTTTTCCAACTATAATACACAAAAACCTATTTTACAAGTTTGTACGTGTACATCTAAATTCCCACATTTCCTGTGTAAAACCAGTAGAATTTAGCAACCAGAACTTCAAGCACCACTGTTCCGTTCCCTCTTACGTGCCAGTAGGTCACTGTGTTAAGTTTTGACTCCTTAAAACATTTCTTACCCTCCTTGGAGCAGATGAAACACAGGCAGCTTAGTAAGCATCTGTCACTCCCAAACCATCCAGTACCGCTATGTATCAATGCATTCGACAATTATATACAGGCATTAATCTAAACAATCACTTGTATCATATAAACGAACTTCCAAGATCAGGAAGAACCTACAGGCATGTATCTATTTCCTAACTTCACAGCCACTATTTAATCAGCCAATAGAACCCTTTAAAACTTGAATTACAAGACATTACTTTAAAGATTATCTAGTTATTGGAGCCGAATACAAAAAAAGAAAGCCTTTGTAACAATCATGTGTTCCAGTACCTACCTTGCAAACATTTCGAGGTCTTTTGCAAAGTTCTCTGGAGAAAACACAAAGATGCCACATATTTTAAAATGCTAACTCTGAGTTGGAAGAGATACATAATACAGTTCTAGCTGTTACAAAGGTGTAACTGCAAATTATCCAAGTTAGTTACGAGAAGCGACCATAACTTGTTATTACGTGCCAATCTGTTGCACAGGCAGGTGGCCCACACATGTCCACATACATTTAAATGCTTTTTCCAGGTCTGAAAAACAGAATTACTATTTCTTGTACTTTTAAAAACATAATACAAGAAACAATGCACCAGTGATACCTAGTTCCAGTGCTATTTTTATTAAGGCATCGTTTCTCCAGCAATTGCTCTTGAACAAATAGATAATATGCAAACTTCTGTACCACACTGCCTGAAGGTGATCTCTGAAATAGCCGCAATGGTTTGTTTGCTGAACTGCACGTCTTTGTCTTCTGCAACATCCTGACACAGGCAGCCAACCGTGTAGTGCACCGCAGCCTTCAGCCTCTGAAAGGATCCAAGGCAGTGACAGGTCAGTTCTCTGCAGACTGATACACCAGCTCTTGCGTAAATCAGAAAACTATTTAAAAGGACGCCACATAAGCGACCGCTTAGGGAGCCCAACGCACCCAGCAACACCACGTTTATCACTCAGTGCCCCGTACCACCCCCGCCCCGGCTCCATCTCGTCCCGGCC